GGGAGCCAAAACATAAGAGACTCTTAAAAACTGAGAACAAACTTGAGGGTTGATGGGGGTGGGACGGAGGGGAGGGTGGGTGATAGGTATTGAGGAGGGTACCTGTTGGGATGAGCACTGGGTATTGTATGGAAACCAATTTGACAATAAATTTCATATTTAAAAACAAAAGAGGAATCTTTGGATGAGATTTGTGTATACATGGCGAATCACTAGGCCTATAGTTTTGTGGAATTGGAGGATGCTAAAACCATCAAGGGGGTAATAGATTTTAGGAGCTGAGTGAAGAAAATAATTTGATATAGATTATGGTCCTTCAACCAGGAGAGGCTTTAAAGAGTTCTAGGGGTAAAATAATTTTACCTGCCATTTTATTAGACTTGACATGTTTGATTAAAGGAGTTATGGTGGTGAAGTAATGTAGGTGAGATGATTATCAGAGTGAAAAAGGCCTACTGCCAACAAAATTTGAGGAAATTTTTCTGTGGCTAGAAAGCTGGACGACATAGGTCTACAACATGAGAGAATGGGGCTTCTTTAACCTCTCTGATCAAGGCAGGTATATCTCCAAATATTGACCTTAACAACAAGTCAGAGACCTCGCCTCAGAATTTAGGTTTTATTTTTCCAAAGGCAACAAGGAATTTGTAATAAGATTCAAATTTAATAAATTTCAACTCAGTAATTCCTAATTCATTTGTTTTGTGTCCTGTTTTGCATGATGCCTCACTAATTAAGCCAGATTTGGTGTTGTGCTTCCTGACAGCCATTATCTAACCAGGAACTAGCAGAAGGAAACCTACATTTGTTCAAACATGAAACCGAAAAGACTGGCTTCCATCTAAAGTAGTGGGTCTTAACAGTTTTTGACTGTGGCCCCCTAAGACAGACCAACAGACTCGATGGTCCATTTGTCCCCACTTTATGACTGTATAAGTACCATGTGGTCTGGATGATTCACAGTATCATTTTTAGAAAATCGTGTGTAATGTGAATCATATGCTAGAAGGTAAAAGAGCAAGCAACCTAAAACAAACTAAAACCAAAAGTGATGAAATCTAATCATAGTTTATAATGAAAAGGAAACAGCAACCAAAAACTACAGATAACTTAAAACAAATCCTAATGACATTATCAATATAGCATTCCACCTGAAAATGGCAGGAACCTGAACTGTCTACATTTGTTCATGCTTGTATAGTAATAGCTCAATTACACCCTCAGCTGCATGTATACCAGGATTCTTGGAGAAACAGTGAGTTAGAATATTCGGTAAACTCTATCAATACATTATTTAAGATTATTTAATTTCTAACTTTTTACAATTATATTGTAGGTTACTAGTAAGCAATATCCAGTCACAAGTGAAAATGAAAGTCTGTGAAATGTGTTATTTGCCCATAAGAATCACTGCATCAAGCCTCAGCCAGTAGGAGCCCTTTGCCAAGGATTGCCTGTATTTGAAGAATCACTGCTCTGGTAAAATGGCCCAACAGGAAAGGCTTTTCACAGTCCAGGTTGTTCCTGTGCAGGGCTTTGCTAAAACTACTCTTTAAAATCAATTTTTTTTTAACGTTTATTCAATTTTGAGAGACAGAGACAGAGCGTGAGTGCGGGAAGGAAAGAGAGAGAGGGAGACACAGCATCCCAAGCAGGCTGCAGGCTCTGAGCTGTCAACACCGAGCCTGATGAGGACCTTGAACCCAGGAGCTGTAAGATCATGACCTGAGCTGAAGTCGGACGCTTAACCGACCAAGCCACCCAGGTGCCCTAAACTACTCTTAATATGACATTAACACTCTATAAATAATCAAGTCATCCATAGGGAATCAAAGAAAACATACAAATGGGAATACAATAATGTTTATAATGTAGATCTAACATGTCTGCATGCACCCTGGTGAAGAAAACATCATGTAACACTGTACTATTGCTGCTGTCCAAGTGAGTAAAGTAAAAATGCAGAAAAAGTGGTTGTTATAAACAACTGTTAGGTTAGAGATGGCTTTTTAGCCACCAAAATTTATTTGTTTCATTGATCCTGAAACAATGCAGCCAAGTCAGGTAGTGATTAGACAAACTAACCTTTATGAATACAGATAAATTTCATTATAAATGTTTATATCTTGACAATATAGCATAGTTTGCATCATTGTGATAATAGGTCTGTCTTCTCTAATAGATGGTAAGACACTTATGAGTAGAAATGGCGTTATTCACCTAAAAATGTGAAATTTGGAGCCACACTGCTTGAACTCACATCTTAAGTCTGCTACTTTCTAGCTGTGTGACTGTAAGTAAGGTGAACTCTGTGTTTCAGTTCTGCAAAATAGATATAAAAATAGTAGCAACCTCACAAGGTCAATTTGAGGATTCAATGAGATAATGTGTATAAATTCTTAGGATAGGAACTGAGAAAGCAATCAATAAATGTTAGCCCTCATTAATAGCAGCAGTTGCATTATTATTAGTTAATATATATTCTACAGTATTTAGATTGAGCTTTACACATGGTTGATACTACTAGAATTGCTGTAGAGTTTCTGCTAAATTATGTTATTTATTTTTTTGAGGGGCAATATAGAATGGTAAGAGGCACAGTGCTAATGTTCAAATTCCAGCTGTACCACTTGCTATTTATTTAATCCATGTGCCTCAGTTTCCTAATCTGTAAAATGAGAATAACACCAGCACCTTCCTCATAAGGCTGTTATGAAGATTAAATAAGTTAAGATTTATAAACTACTTAGAATAGTGTCTGTTTCATAATGTTAAGTTAAAAAAAGTCTTTTGACCGTTCTCCACCTCCTTCCTCCAGGAGTTCCACCAAAAATACCTTCACAAGTTGAAGAGGATGGATAAAAGTAATTATCAGAAGTAAAACAACAAATGAATGTTTGCTGTTATATCCTAAGACAAACCATATAAATGTTGGAATGTTATGAAAAGATTATCCAGATTTTTGAACACCTACTCTAAATCTATTTTAAATTAATCAGTTTATGAAAGTATACCTGCATGTTGTCTGGATCCATAATCAAATTTTACTTGTTCTGGCATGTCAGCATGTAGATTTAAAATAAATTATTATTTTGTTTATGGATTTAGTACAGCAGCTCTAATGTGAGAGCAAGTTGTCATATGTATATCTTATCAAGGAAAAAAAAGACCTGAATCTAATCATTCTTTATCTAAAGGGTTTTATTTTTATTTTTTTTTCA